TGCCTCCCAGTGCCAAGTGTAATACCTGCCACCCAGTGTCAAGTGTAACTGCCTCAGTGTCAAGTGATTACCGCTCCTCAGTGTCAAGTGTAATACTGCCTTCCCAGTGTCAAGTGTAATTACCTGCCACCCCAGTGCAAGTGAATCCCTGCCACCCCAGTGTCAAGTGTAATAACCTGCCTCCAGTGTCAAGTGTAATACCGCCTCCTCAGTGTCAAGGGTAATACCTGCCTTCCCAGTGTCAAGTGTAATACCTGCCACCCCAGTGCAAGTGTAATACCTGCCACCCCAGTGTCAAGTGTAATACCTGCCACCCCAGTGTCAAGTGTAATACCTGCCTCCTCAGGGTCAAGTGTAAATACCTGCCTTCCCAGTATAAAGTGTAATACTGCCTCCCCAGTGTCAGTGTAATACCTGCCTCCCAGTGTCAAGTGTAATACCTGCCTCCTCAGTGTCAAGTGTAATACCTGCCTTCCCAGTGTCAAGTGTAATACCTGCCACCCCAGTGTCAAGTGTAATACCTGCCTCCCCAGTGTCAAGTGTAATACCTGCCTCCCAGTGTCAAGTTAATACCTGCCTCCCAAAGTGTCAAGTGTAATACGGGCCTTTCCCATTCAAGTGTAATACCTGCCCCCAGTGTCAAGTGTAATACCTGCCTCCCCAGTGTCAAGTGTAAACCTGCCTCCAGTGTCAAGTGTAATACCTGCCTCCCAGTGTAAAGTGTAATACCTGCCTTCCCATTTGTCAAGTGTAATACCTGCCACCCGTCAAGTGTATACCTGCCTCCCAGTGTCAAGTGTAATACCTGCCTTTCCTAAAGTGTCAAGTGTAATACCTGCCTCCCAGTTTCAAGTGTAATCCCTGCCTCCCAGTGTCAAGTGTAATACCTGCCTCCCAGTGTCAAGTGTAATACCTGCCTCCCAGTGTCAAGTGTAAACCTGCCTCCCCAGTGTCAAGTGAAATTACCTGCCTCCCAGTGTCAAGTGTAATACCTGCCTCCCAGTGTCCAAGTTTTAATACTGCCTCCCAGTGTCAAGTGTAATACCTGCCTCCCCAGTGTCAAGTTTTAATACCTGCCTCCTCAGTGTCAAGTGTAATACCTGCCTTTCCCAGTGTAAAAGTGTAATACCTGCCTCCCCAGTGTCAAGTGTAATACCTGCCTTCCCAGTGTCAAGTGTAATACCTGCCTCCCAGTGTCAAGTGTAATACCTGCCTTCCAGTGTCAAGTGTAATCCCTTCCCTCCCCAGTATCAAGTGTAATACCTGCCCCCAGTGTCAAGTGTAATCCCTTTGCCCTCCCAGTGTCAAGTGTAATACCTGCCTTCCCAGTGTCAAGTGTAATACCTGCCTCCCAGTATCAAGTGTAATTTACCTCCCACCCCAGTGTCAAGTGTAATACCTGCCTCCCCAGGGGTCAAGTGTAATCCCTTTGCCTCCCCAGTGTCAAGTGTAATACCTGCCTCCCCGTTCAAGTGTAATACCTGCCCTCCCCAGTGTCAAGTGTAATACCTGCCTCCCCAGTGTCAAGTGTAATACCTGCCTTCCCAGTGTCAAGTGTAATACCTGCCTCCCCAGTGTCAAGTGTAATACCTGCCTTCCCAGTGTCAAGTGTAATACCTGCCTCCCCAGTGTCAAGTGTAATCCCCTCCCTTCCAGTGTCAAGTGTAATACCTGCCTTCCCCAGTGTCAAGTGTAATACCTGCCTCCAGTGTCAGTGTAATACCTGCCTTCCCAGTGTCAAGTGTAATACCCTGCCTCCCAGTGTCAAGTGTAATACCTGCCTCCTCCAGTGTCAAGTGTAATACCTGCTCCCAGTGTCAAGTGTAATACCTGCCTCCCGTGTCAATGTAAATACCTGCCTCCCCAGTGTCAAGTGTAATACCTGCCTCCCAGTGTCAAGTGTAATACCTGCCTCCCAGTGTCAATGAAACCTGCCCAGTGTCAAGTGAAATCCTGCCTCCCCAGTGTCAAGGGGTTTACCTGCCTCCCAGTTTCAAGTGTAATACCTGCCACCCCAGTGTCAGTGTAATACCTGCCCCCAGTGTAAAGTGTAATACCTGCCACCCAGTGTAAAGTGTAATACCTGCCTCCCAGTGTCAAGTTTTAATACCTGCCCCCGTGTCAAGTGTATTACCTGCCCCCCAGTGCCAATGTAATCCCCCCCTGTCTTTTCCTGCACTCCAGTGTCAAGTGTAATACCTCCCTTTCCCAGTGTCAAGTGTAATACCTGCCTTCCAGTGTCAAGTGTAATACCTGCCTCCCCAGTGTCAAGTGTAATACCTGCCTTCCCAGTGTCAAGTGTAATACCTGCCTCCCCAGTGTCAAGTGTAATACCTGCCTTCCCAGTGTCAAGTGTAATACCTGCCTCCCATTCAAGTGTAATACCGGCCTCCCAGTGTCCAAGTGTAAATACCTGCCTCCCCAGTGTCAAGTGTAATACCTGCCTCCCAGTGTCAAGTGTAATACCTGCTCCCCAGTTCAAGTGTAATACCTGCCTCCCCCAGTGTCAAGTGTAATACCTGCCTCCCATGTCAAGTGAATATTGCCCCAGTGTCAAGTGTAATACCTGCCTCCCAGTGTCAAGTGTAATACCTGCCTTTCCCCAGTGTCAAGTGTAATACCTCCCTTTCCCCATTTAATTTGTAATTACCTGCCTCCCCAGTGTCAAGTGTAATACCTGCCACTCCAGTGTCAAGTGTAATACCTGCCTCCTCAGTGTCAAGTGTAATACCTGCCTTCCCAGTGTCAAGTGTAATACCTGCCTCCCCAGTGTCAAGTGTAATACCTCCCTTTCCCCAGTGTCAAGTGAAATACCTGCCTCCCCAGTGTCAAGTGTAATACCTGCCCCCTCAGTGTCAAGTGTAAAAACCTGCCTTCCCAGTGTCAAGTGTATACCGGCCCCTCAGTGTCAAGTGAAATTACCTCCCCTCCCCAGTGTCAAGTGTAATACCTGCCTCCTCAGTGTCAAGTGTAATACCTGCCTCCCCAGTGTCAAGTGTAATACCTGCCTCCCCAGTGTCAAGTGTAATCCCTTTGCCTTCCCAGTGTCAAGTGTAATACCTGCCTCCCCAGTGTCAAGTGTAATACCTGCCTTCCCAGTGTCAAGTGTAATACCTGCCTCCCCAGTATCAAGTGTAATACCTGCCTTCCCAGTGTCAAGTGTAATACCTGCCTTCCCAGTGTCAAGTGTAATACCTGCCTTCCCAGTGTCAAGTGTAATACCTGCCTCCTCAGTATCAAGTGTAATACCTGCCACCCCAGTGTCAAGTGTAATACCTGCCTCCCCAGTGTCAAGTGTAATACCTGTCTCCCCAGTGTCAAGTGTAATACCTGCCTCCCCAGTATCAAGTGTAATACCTGCCACCCCAGTGTCAAGTGTAATACCTGCCTCCCCAGTGTCAAGTGTAATACCTGCCTTCCCAGTGTCAAGTGTAATACCTGCCTCCTCAGTGTCAAGTGTAATACCTGCCTTCCCAGTGTCAAGTGTAATACCTGCCTCCCCAGTGTCAAGTGTAATACCTGCCTTCCCAGTGTCAAGTGTAATACCTGCCTCCCCAGTGTCAAGTGTAATACCTGCCTCCTCAGTGTCAAGTGTAATACCTGCCTTCCCAGTGTCAAGTGTAATACCTACCTCCTCAGTGTCAAGTGTAATACCTGCCTCCCCAGTGTCAAGTGTAATACCTGCCTCCTCAGTGTCAAGTGTAATACCTGCCTCCCCAGTGTCAAGTGTAATACCTGCCTCCCCATTGTCAAGTGTAATACCTGCCTTCCCAGTGTCAAGTGTAATACCTGCCTCCCCAGTGTCAAGTGTAATACCTGCCTTCCCAGTGTCAAGTGTAATACCTGCCTCCCCAGTATCAAGTGTAATACCTGCCTTCCCAGTGTCAAGTGTAATACCTGCCTTCCCAGTGTCAAGTGTAATACCTGCCTTCCCAGTGTCAAGTGTAATACCTGCCTCCTCTTATCAAGTGAAATTTACCTGCCACCCCAGTGTCAAGTGTAATACCTGCCTCCCCAGTGTCAAGTGTAATTACCTGTCTCCCCAGTGTCAAGTGTAATACCTGCCTCCCCAGTATCAAGTGTAATACCTGCCACCCCAGTGTCAAGTGTAATACCTGCCTCCCCAGTGTCAAGTGTAATACCTGCCTTCCCAGTGTCAAGTGTAATACCTGCCTTCTCAGTGTCAAGTGTAATACCTGCCTTCCCAGTGTCAAGTGTAATACCTGCCTTCTCAGTGTCAAGTGTAATACCTGCCTTCCCAGTGTCAAGTGTAATACCTGCCTTCCCAGTGTCAAGTGTAATACCTGCCTTCTCAGTGTCAAGTGTAATACCTGCCTCCCCAGTGTCAAGTGTAATACCTGCCTCCCCAGTGTCAAGTGTAATACCTGCCTTCCCAGTGTCAAGTGTAATACCTGCCTTCTCAGTGTCAAGTATACCTTCCTCCCAAGCATTAAGTGCAGTACTGGCCGCCCAGAATATAGTTACAAGACACCTGCTTTCCCAGCATCCAGTTGTCTAATTATTTCCTTCCCACTTTCCTCATATGTAATGTGTGTCTCGCATCTGTCATGTCTTCTAATCCCTGCCTCATTAGTACCAACATGTGCGTTAAAGAATTCTGTCTTGTCATTTTAATCAACTGCACTCTTCTAGGCATCCTTACTTCTAATAATTTCCTTCCTAGACGCATTTTGTCTAATATCTGCTTCTCTAGTTTTATATTTTCTAATACCCCTTTCGCTAGCATCATGTTTGTTTATTCCTGCCTCTCGAGTCATGTTTAGGGTTTGCCTCTTAAATGTGAAGCTGGTTCTTATCTGTCTCCCCAGTATTATGTTATCCAACACTTGGCTCTCAATCATAGTGCAATAATTTCCTACCTCTAGTCAGGTGTAAAACCTGTTTCCTTAGTGTTATGCGTTGTCTTATACCTCCCTTTCTAGTTAACAGGTAAAATGAGTCCACTTGTACCAGTTGATACCAGGTCCTGTTTACTTCAGAGTTGCTTCAGCGTGTGTTGGAGAAGCCGCTGGAGAAGAAAGCAGGCAGGAACTACGCTCCTCCAGGCAATAAAAAGCTTGTGTACTTAATTGATGACATAAACATGCCAATGGTAAGTGAAACAGTATCGACATAAATAAGCTAGCAAATAGCAAGCTCTATTATTTTAAGTTGCACAACATTACAGGAATCTCTCACCCAGTATTACCGAGTCATATACTGTTAGTGTTTGGCTGGGTTCAGCTTCAGTCTCATTTCATATATTGTTGGATTAATGATGGTATTGGGTTCATTTTGTTTCTAAGGGAAGTAAACACGCAGATGGTCCTGCCGAGCCAGAGACTATACCATACAGAGACAATGGTCGTGACGAACTAGTTGTTAATGCTAGGATGTATAGCCTGAGGATGTGAGAGCATGGTATGGTTCACCTGGCCCATACTTCCACAATTGACCAACAGATGCCACCACTAAAGGTGGCTTTGTGGACAAGATATGTTTATGGTCTGACGTTTTAAAGGCTAAAATTTGTAGGTTCACATTCACTTGACAACCTACTCATAGCATATATGTTACAAATTACTCGCATAACATTGTGATTATTAAATTTGGTATTATTTCACACAGTAACAGTTTAAAAGAATTTGAAGTCCCAAAAACTTATCTCCTCTGAGTAGGAAGGAGAATAAAATACTTCATCAATTGTCTTCAGATGGGCTACTTCGGCAAAGAAAGAGATGTGCAGAGTTCTTGTTCAGTAGCTAATGCAGCTGCTACTAGTGGGAGAGAGGAAATTTAACTTTTAGTTTTTCTATTTAGAGTGGTATACAACCCCTTCCTCCTATCGTCAATGAATCACATTACTCTTCCAGGATATATGAGACTTGACCAGTTGCGAATTCTATTTTGCATAATACTGAAGCGACAGAATATCTATGGTGTCGGTGACGGCGATTAGGGAGGCTTCCAAACACTGACGGCGTCTAAGATCTTGTTCGGTGAGGACGAGCTGTGCCTCATTCCAATTCATCAAATATCCTGTGGAGTCCCTCTGGAGGACAGAGGCGTACCTGAGGTCGTCTCTGTTGCTGGCGTTTCGATGTTCGTTCAGACGGACCCAAAGATTTCTGACTGTTTTCCCTATATATTTCTTGGGACAGTACCCTCAGTGAATGGTGCAGATGCTTGCTGTGGAAGTTAAAGGTGTGCGGCTGCGTTTCGTAGTAAGATGATGTATTTACAGATGAAGAAGGCTGGAAACTGAAGACTTGTGAAAGCTTGTGCTATGTTAATGCGTTCCTCTTCAAGTAAACAAGGGTTGGAGGTGCGAACAGCTCTCAAGAAGAAACCAATAAGGACACCTCTTGTATTGCCGGTGTCTAGGTGCCATCGTCCTTGTCACTTTGAAGAGAGATTTGTCGCTGTCGGGAGACCTGCACAGGAGGACGTTAAAGAAATGAAGTCTACCATCTTTTTCGAGTTCCAGTGTAAATTTATTGAAATGTCTGAGATAGAAAACCAAGATATCGTCAATATATTTTAGCTAGAAAGCTGTGTTGAGAACGAGAGTCATGAATTTCTCAGTTTCAGATTCTCCACGAAGAGAATGATGCTAGGATGAGTGGGCTGCCCATTACCATCCCAAGGCTTTGGTTGTACCAGTTGTCTTGAAACTTCATGAGGGTAAAATTAACACAGAGAATGAATAAGAATGAACTAGAGAATGAAATCCAGAAGAGGTAACGGGAGGTCGTGGTTTTCAATAAGCCTTTGTCTCAGAATATTTATTGCAGTATCAGAAGAAAAACTGGTAAAGAGGGTTGTAACATCGAAGGAAGCCATGCTTTTGTTTTTGATAATCAGGCTGAAAATGCGAGAGAGGTCATCTGAGTGAGGTGGCCCTGGCTGATGGTGCCTACAAGTGTTGAAAGGTAATTGGCAAGGTGGCAACTAATCTGTGTGGTGCGCTCCCTATACCCGAATTGACAAAATCTCAAGTTTTGCTTATTCGGTACGACAGTATATATATATATATATATATATATATATATATATATATATATATATATATTATATATATATATATATATATATATATATATATATATATATATATATATATATATATATATATATATTATATATATATATATATATATATATTATATATATATATATATATATATATATATATATATATATATATATATATATATATATATATATATATATATATATATATATATATATATATATATATATATATATATATATTATATATATATATATATATACATATATGTCGTGCCGAATATGTGAAATTGGTCAATTACCAATAACTCATTTAAAATTAAGTCTTTTCTGAAATTTTCTCTTATACGTTTAAAGATATATTTTTTTCATTAACGTTAATGTAAAAAAAAATTAATTTTGCACCAAAAGAATCTTAGAAAACTTACCTAACATTATTATAACAAGAACAATTTATTTTAGCCTAAC